TTGTAGTTAATATTGCTACAGAGGGAGTGCATTAAAACGCTTATGGTGTTGTTGTTAATTAAACAGCTCTGCGGCAGAGTCTGGTGTAGTCAATAAACATAAGTAAATAAGCCCAGTGGCGCATTTGAGCGCCCATCCGACTCACAAATTCACCCCCCGAGCCCGCCATTTGCACCGGACAGCTCAGCTTCCGACCCCCCAGAGCCCCACACCGCCCGAGTCCGAGGGGCACAATTTATGCATGTCTCCGTCACAATATTAATCATCCGACAAATTGAATTATATGGCGGTGATTCAGCATGTCAATTAATTATCAAACATGATTTCATTGGGCCCTTTTTCTCCCCATTGACAACACGAGGCCAAAGCCTCCAATTCATATACGGCTGCAGCTGATGCTGAAAATGCATTTGCATTTTCTTTGACATGCAGCAGCACAAAGAGATGGTTGGACACATGATTTAACTGCAAATAAGCCCACTAATCATCATTTGATATATCAATGAGTGGTTTTATTACAAAATTCCATTGGCATATCAATTTCGCAATAATCATCTCATTGAGAATTATTGGAATTCCTGCCCTTTCATCTGCTTCTCAACCTATTCACTCTATGGCGTCTGAAATGACTCTTCGCATTTCTCCATCCACCCCTCACCCCACCCCCACCCACAGACCAGATCAGCTAGAACTGAAGGATTATTTGAGGGACTTAAAGTTCCCACATTCGGGAAGCATCATAATGTATATTTGCTCCTGTGTCGCCAGAGAGAGAGAAAAATCCTCCGCTCACAATGGAGAGAAAATGCAAGGAGTAAACTTTCGAGAGGGGGAGAGAGAGGGAGAAAAGAACTCCCAGCGGAAGATAATATTTTTCCCGGGGAAATCAAATCCTAGAGGACACTATGTCAACGCATTTCGATTGAAATAAATCCCCATTTCCATTAGTTAAATTCCCATTTCTATCCATTCTTCGCCCAAGAATGAATCCAGGCGGCAAAACCCCGTGTGAGACGGTGAACAGAATTCTTATATATATGTAGCATGTGAAAATAAACTGCCACAAATCCCGATATTATCGCAAATTGTACAGAAGAAGGAGCGCATGAAGAAATCAAACCACTTAACTCTACGCTAAATCACTTTACGATGCGGAATTGCATTTGAATAGACAGCATAGAAATTCACAAAAAGCTCTTAATTAATTCAGAATGTCAGGAAAATTGATATTTTGCTTTTCACTGCATATCATATACATTGAATTGCAAACCTTCATATGTAAAATATAGAAATGTAACACAATTTGCACAGCAAGAATACTCGAAGCTCAGTAAATTTCCTCAAAATGGACTCAAAGACAGCTTTCAAATGCTGCGCAGAAAGTTTAACTTCATCGGTAACAGAATACCGACTGGAAAATTCCTTGCATACATTATTGATTCTGGTCAAGATGGTCAATTTTTCTGTTGCTGTCTCCCAGCAATAAAATGTATTTTTAATATGTTTTTCCATTGTGCAAGGACAAGGAGAGTGTATTTCTTCCGAAATATCTCCCAGAGTCGCTGAATTATTAAGAACATGTCAAAGGTAGAAATAGTAAATTTTCTCAGTTGTGTTGTGCTTTGATATCGCATTAACTTGCAAATTGCAACGCATCTTTTGAGAAAGCTTTCATCAATTTAATGATGCAATCATCAGTGTGGCATTTTACCACTTTTCCCCATTGATTGCCATGATGTATCTGGGAATAAATGCATAAAATGCAGAAGATCTAACAATTTGCGGAGGAGGCAATTTAATGATGGGTGTAAAATCCATGAATTCATTGAATATTTATATATTTTCATCATATCTTCTAAATGTGCACAACTCGGTTGTGAAATCAGTTGCTCTTGCGACACTGTCAGTGAAATCAAATGAAGCTCATTGCAAATTTCAAATGATGATCAACTTTATATTAATGGGCAGCATTTTGTCGAGAAACTTTGCCATTTTTCTGCATCGTCGATGCGCAAATCTCACCATGAAGAATGAAATTGAGTCAATTGTTACGCGACTTCCTCACTTAACACTCCGCATTTTTCCCTTTTCTCATGAAACCAAAAATAATCCATGGAAAATTCGCACACACACATGATTACATGTGGGATAGAAAAGTAGTAAAAAAATGTTTGATTCGTAGATGGAGGAAAAAGGGCGAAGAAAGAACACTATCAAATAAATATCGCGCAGGTTGCAAAACTGTTAAATCCTGGCAGTATTTGTGATGATGAATTTGATGAAATTGATCTGGCTACAGGCAAAATCCTTGAGCAAATATTTAGCTTTGCCCCCCGCCCAATGCGGTTTTCGCCGATTGAAAATCAGCAAAATCCTCTCCTATTGACTGGGCCATGTGCCATTATGCACAGGGATCGGGTGGGACACTATATATCGAGGATTCCGCAAATTGGTGTGCGGTAAGCAATTTTAGAATTACACCCACCCCCGGAGGGACACAATTCACCCCCCAAAGGGTGCTAGCAAACTAATTCTTATCGGGGCTCTCATCGCTGCCACAGCATCGAATCATAAATTTAGATTTATCATCACCTCGCAAACACTACAACAAATTGGCTGCGTTTGTAATAAATTGCACCAGAATTCACGCAAGAGAATGCAAAATATCATAGCTTTTAACGACGCACATTGCATTGACACAATTTTCAACACAATCAGTATGATTTTTATTGTTGCAGTGGAAATTCTTAGAAAACATTGTAGAACAGTTCTGCAATATCAATTTTCAGTAAAGAAATCCATCTGCTGGGAGAAATGGTGGTAGTTTTTATTGAATTGTATTAGATTATTATTATTATTATTATTTTAAAGAACGTTGTATCATAATTTGGCTTTGAAAGTCTCCTCATTTTCTCATAAAATGTCGTATCAATAAATAAAGCAGAAACTTTGAAGTTGTCAGAAATTTACCAACACGTTTAGTGTTGAGCAAAGTCTGCTCTACTAAATAAATTGTCAATAAACATGTCATTTTGAAGTTCGTGGGTGAGCTTTCACATCCATCCCATGTTTCAATTAATGAAGTTTATTGAGAATGTAAATAGTTTGAAGAAAGCCACATTCTTACAATTAAAATTTAATTAATGCAAAGTTGCTGTCCACCCGGAAGTTCCTTTCGCACTAGAAGCACTCCTTCCGCCCAGACACTTGAGCATGGGTAGCGGCAATCTGAGGTGTTCACCAAAAGGAGGGGAACCAGAGTTGCCAAGTAGACATTTATCAACTCCCTGGCGCTGAACAGCATGTAAAGTTGTTTGGGCGTCCAGTTAGTGTGAAATTGAAAATTGGTGCTAATGACAGGCGCTTTCAATAATAATTTCGAGCACAAGTTGCAAACTCCGTCCAACGAATCCACTCCTTCACAGACTTCTCCTCTCACACTTGATCGGAACTTTTCAATATGCGAAGCACACGATATGCCGAACTTTCCGGCAAATTGCAGGGGTTTGTTGCTTTGAAGTTTCACCACACTTCTCATGCTCGCCCGAGTGGTATATCGGAAGGGGTGTGCCACCCCCCCACCCCCTGCTCAGGTGAGCCAAATTCTGTCCATCCATGCCATTTACCACATGAGTGTTTAATTAACAAATACTTCCACCGGAGCTTGCAAATCATTACCAGAGCGTATACCTTCAATGCCTGGCATTTCTGGCCACCCTCGACGTCCCGATTCACAAGTTCAGCACTTGAGCAATTGTTGTAATCAATTGCTGAGCACGTTACCTCACAATCCCATACACTTGAGAACTTCAAACGGAAATTGCGAACCGATATTGACGAGACTCAATCGGTCGAAAATCCCCATCTGGACTAATTAACTAAATTAAATCAGTCAAGTGTGAGAATTGATATTTGCACCGCCCCTTCTGGCACTTGACCCTTATTGCTGAGTCCCATTGAAAAGTGTGTTCTCACATTTAAATTTCTTCACTCACCCTTGTGACCCACTTGTCTGGGCATCGATTTTGTGCGCTGGACTTTCATCGACTTTGACAACAATCTTGCCAATAATTCACGATGCAGAGTGCACAATTGTTTCAAAGCCTGTCCTTCCACTCCTCTGAGCTTTGCTAATACAAATATCACCCATAAATTCTCTGTGCTTGCACACAAACTGCGTAAAAAGGCTCTAAAAAGTTTGCCAAACGTTTTTGGACTTATTTGTTTCATAATTTTAACAATATTTGCATTGAAGGCGATCTCTCAGATTCAATCTGTGTCGTTCAAGGCCAATACAGCAGCTGAAAAAGTTTTCCAGTCAGTTTTCTTAGGCAGATCTTGATCCCGGAGTCCCTGAATTGATACCTCAGCATACTAACTATTCAACCACAAGATTCAGTCTGGTCCCAAGACACGTGGTGCCGCGAAATGTCAGCCTTTCCGCCTCTGGATGTAAGGATCTGTGAGAAGAAAGGAAGTAAAGGGGAAAAAGGGTTGTCAGCCGAGGTGAAAATGGAACTCCCACAATCAGCATTAGGAATATTTGTCTGTCTTTTGACAGAGAGTGGAGTATGAGTGTTTTTATTATTGTACTCTCTTTGCAAAAAGAAAAAGTCTCTTTTAACCACTCTTCCTCGTGAAACTCTAAGCTCTTCTCCTTTCTATTTCATTATAATTAATTTACAATGTTATATGAGGAATAACCCTAATTGTGTTGCTATTACTATTGTAGCAAAATAAAAGAAAAAAATAAGCACTCATAAACGGAATAGCGCGCAGTTAAAGTATTCTGCACATTGAGCTGAGAGAAGAGCATATCTTCAATGGCTTTTGCCAGTGTTTGACCCAAACAGTTGGGGAGGAGATGAAATTTAATCCTCAACACCCAATTAAGGGAATATGGCTTACATTGAAAGCTCTCTACATGCTAAATCTCCCAAGTGTTTCCATAGAATTTTAATCCAATTTAAAAAGATAATCCATTCTGTGCGTCTTTTCAGTATCAAACTGGGCACTCATGGAACGCCAAGGCATCGCGGAGACGGCGTCAGCGATTCCCCTGTGAAGAACTTCAGCCTCGGAGATGTCAAGCAACTCCACACTGGCATGCACACATCAGAAAGTGTAACAGGTATAAAACAGTTTATTCTTTGCCCAGCGCCAAGGATGATGAATATGACTAGAGAGACAATTGATGAATAGGAAGGACCTCCTAACATATTGAAATTGGTTTGTTCGGAATTTCCAATCGCCTCATATTTCCTCAACACTTGATAGATTGAAGTTCAGTGGAAAAATATTCATGTGCGGCCCTATTAAAAATGTATGCATAAAAGCTCCAAATTTACGCTTCAGCGAATATTTATGATATTATCGCAAGAAGATTGTATCGTAAATCTTAATGGATCGCAGTCAATTTATTGGCAAGTGCATGAATTGAGGGAGTTAACTTCATTTTCATGTTATACACTCCGTGCGCTGGGCTTTCTCTGCGATGTAGAGGAAAAAAAAGAATTTGCATTTAAAATTCATCCAATATATCGCATTACAAACCCCACTCAGTGTTATTTCAAACAGTGTGAGCACATATGCAACATTCTTCAACCTTATTAAACATTAAATTCAATTCATTTCATCCCCACATCGCAACTAAAATCATTCACATCCTGAAGACTTTCTTCGCGCTCTCGCGCTCTCACGTATTGGCAAAGTTTCGCAACTGTGGAGCCATCATCATCGATATTGAAATAATATTTAGTGCTGCCAGCAGTGTTTGGGGTAGGAAACAAAAGATTGCCACGCACATATAGTCATTATGATTTTGGCAAGAAGAGGCAAACTTTTCCTCACACAGGATTCCTCTCTATTATTTATTGAACAATAACGTAATCTTCCTCATTCACTTCATTTGCCCCATCACACAATGGCGGGCGCTGGAAGTCTGATGAGTACTGCTAAATTTATTAATCCAGTATTAATTAAAATTGATAAGGGAGAATAATAATATGGGGTGTGTATTGTATTCTCACAGAGAGAAAGTGCACAAGATTAAACTGAAATTTCAATATGGAACTTCTTAGTGCACACAATGTGCTGAAAAAAACGTGTATTTCAGGATGCAAACACGCGGAAATTGATTCAGAAAACAAGAATTTTAAGATTTATATCTTATGAGACAATAGAAAAAAATCTTATTTATCTAAAAAGCACAAATGGAGAAAAAAATTGTCATGTTTTGCGAATGAAAAGTCGAATTTTCATTATTTACGCTGTACAATTTTTCCCCAAGAAAAATGTCTCAAAAATTGCAGTCAAATGCATAAAAACGTCTTTAAATATTTGTAGATTTTCAGAATTATCCTGAAATGTTTTTTTTTTGGACTTTAAATGAATATTTCTCATATCTTTTAATTTTTTCACTTGAAAACATTAAGAAAAAGTTCAAGTATAAGTATGAAAAGTTGATTTTTTGTATAAAATCGACTCAAAAACCATTAAAAATCGACTTTGAAAAGTAATATTTCCAGATTTTCTATTAATTTTGCCACATTTTAGTCAAAAAATTTCAATAAATACCAATAAATAATTATATTTTCACTTTAACGAACGATTTGAAGGCATTTTGAGTATTTTGAAGTAAATTTGGCAAATTTCGCAGCTGTTTTAATGCAAAATTTTGAATTCGCTTTGCTGAAAAATGGCGATTTTGAGTTTTTTTTTTATAGTTTTCGAGGCACCCGTCGAAATAGTGCTTCCAAATTCAAATTATTTTCATTTTCAACCACTTTGAGCACAATTTCTATTGCTTTTGATATATTTTGCTCACAATTGAGCTCAGAAAAGCAATGTTTTCAGCGCCTTAAATTTATATAAAACTCAAATAAAATGTATTTCATCGATCGTGGGTGTTGCTTGAAAATTCTCCTTAAATTAGTGTTTTCTAAAGCACATCGGAACCTTGAGGAAATTGTGTTTATCTAAGATCAATTATTACATGTGCTGTAAAGACAGTAGAAAGTAAGACTAACGAGATAGTTAGTTAGAGTTCTTCTGATGAACAGCCAGCCAAAGTGAATTCCTGCGAAATCAGCAGGTCTCCCAAGTTGTCGCATCAGAATTTTCACTCGTGTGATTAATGAGGAGTTGCTGGGGTGGAAAAATGACGCTTCGAAGAGTGCTTATTTACGGGTGAGATTGAAGTCGTGTTGGACCACCGCAAATGCTGTCACTCTCTCTCTCTCTCTCTTGTCGCCCTCTCAGCTCCACTGTGGCGGTGTTGGTGGTAGAAAAAAAGCGTGGGGTGGAATTCTTTGTGCGCGAGAATTTATCTCGAAATTAAATTCATCATCTACAATTTTAATTAAGTGAATGGAATTATATACAGGCAGTTACAGCTTTCACATAAGCACTGCCATGGCGGTGCTTTCCTCTCCGCCTTTTGCATTAACAATCAAGACAATGGTCTCCGAAACAGAAATACTGCGGAGATGAAAACACCCGGGATTAGGAGTGGAGAATGAAGTGAGGACCCGGAGTCTCTTCGTCTTCATATCCGGCACGAGGGGCGGGCGGTGCGAGAGAGAGAGAGTCTTGTATTTAATTAGTTATGAGGAATTCATTTATCTAATTGTCTCTATGATGGACATCTGATAGTGAAGGAAAAGAGCAAACTGTAAGTTTCAGTCGAGAGAGATGGTTTCATCTGTGAATTACACGCTTCAAGGGCTTGAGAAGGGACACTTTTTCCTTGAGACAAGAACACTCCTTCATTGGCAATCGCGCGAGATGGGAAAGTCTCGCGCGCGTAACGAGGTTTCAAAATAATTAAAAACTGTTAAAAAATTAACACTCCAGCGGTATAGATTCACCCTTGAGAGGAGCCATCTTAGAGCCATTGAAGCAAAGAGCAACACACAGTGTGTCTAAGGCGAATACATAGCACAGAGGAAAGAATAAGTATACGTAATATACGAAAAGTTACTTTATTCGCCAGTATAATTAAATTAAATTGCATTTCGTATCTGAAAGTGGAATCTTAATTAACGTAGAGTTGAGGATATTTCGTTCATTTCTAATTAACGTTTGGACTAAAAGCTCTCCCTCTGTCTCTCTCAGTCACCTTCACATGCTGTCTTCACTCTCGCCCCAGCTCTGGCATCCCCCTCCCTCGCTTAATGCCAGAGAGAGAGTGTGTATTAACTAACTACCACATCCACTGCCCCAGCGACGCTCACTTGGGATGATGAACTTGGGTCTGGGTATCGGAAAAACATGTAAAAGGATAATTAGAATTACGTTTTTATTTGATGCTTCCAGAGACTCGATGGGTGTTGTATTTGCCGTTGATGAATCGCTCCAAATTGCCAATTATTACAGTTTAGGGGGAGTTAATTTTTTATGGCCCAGAATTTCTTCGGCCCAAAAGTTATTTCATTGACTAATTGTGTGGGTGAGTCGCGAAGACCCTCGCAGAGCACCGCCAAGGGATGAGAATTGCTCCTTTCTCCGCTGTCTGACCTTTTTTTGGGCACTCCGAGATACCCCTCGACGGGAACGTGTAGAGCAGAGTCTAGACCGGATGTTTTAAATTGAGCACATATACTCTTCTATACAATGGTATCGATTTCAGAAAATACAAAAGGATGTGTATTAAGAGCAGAATAACTCCTAAATCATTCTCCTCATCCTTGAAAGAAATGTTGCGCAAGAGTGGCTAAAATCGAAAACATTCGATTTTGAGGCGACAACTATTTAATTGAATTTATCAAATTATTATTTCAAACACACAAAAAGCCTAACAGATTTGCTCATAAATTACCGAAAAATGCCTCAATAAATTGCATACTTTCAACCATTCATTAAGTTCAAATAATCCACGGGTTGCAATTGATTTCTTTTTTCTTCTACAGCAAAAAGCCATTTGCAAAGTGGAAAAAACTGTAATGAATAGTGGCATAAGCCAATTGTAATTGAATCTGCAAGTGAATAATGAAGAGTCCGAAGAGTCTCATAAGAGTCCTTCGTGAGTACATAAAATATTATGATGATTATGTTGGCAAGAAAGAAAAATGAGATTCTGCTCGCCTTTCATTAGCAAAGACAACTGAACTTATATCAAAAGCCAAAACACTGCTGCTATGTGCTCTCTGCTTAGGTAAACAGACGCGGTGGAAAGAGTCGCAAGAGCGGAAAAAAGGCGAATAATTACATTAGATTGGAGTGATTGAGTTCCAAGTGAATATTTTTCTCATTTGACCATCGAGTGTAAGTGATTGAATTCCACTTGGACACACTGGGTGGTGATATTATTGAATGGATTTGAGCCACTTATCCGACTTTCCCTGTGTGGTCTCAATGTGTCAGTGAAAGTGGGTGAAAAAGGGATGAAAGCGTCAACTTGTGACACCCTGGACTTGTCCTCTTCTCTCACCCACACACAGTGTGTGGAGATTGTACAAGAGAATCCCATTTTGAATGTTATGTGATATCCAGAGTTGAGACTCCCGAATTGACTTTCTCCAACTTTCCCGCGCGAAAGGCCTGAACTCTCCGCCATCCGCACCGGAGCTGTGATGGCTCCATTGTAAATCAACTTTGCACCCACACTCGCACACGGGAGAGAGAGAAAGTGTTAGGGGTGGAAGAGCGCCAGCCCAACAAGGGCTTCCATTAAAGCGCACAGAGAAAAGCTTTTTGCCATGGACACAGGAGAAGCTCATCTAATGCGACGGACGGGGACACTGATACCCCATCAAAGTGATAGCGTGAGGGAGTGAATTTCGATTCCCAAAGTGACCGATACATCAATTTCATCTCTTCACCCTTGACACTAAAGGGATACCTCACCAAGGGGGAGATAATGTAGTCAGCAGTGGTGTACAGTTCAGCGGAAGTATTAAGAAGAGGAAATGTTCATCAGGAAATTCATTTACTCACATAGAAACATTCAAAAAAAATCTTTTCTTAGATTCTGTCACGAATCTAAGGCAGATTTAGAGAATAATTCGCATTCTAGCACATCAATTCTTTGGCACATTTAGCATTTGCATTCTAAAAACATTGCTTTTCTGAGTTCTCAACCTTTGACACCACGAAACATTGCAGATTGTGTTAAGAAGTCGAGGGGATAACCTCAAAAAGTGTTATTTGGAAGAGATTTTGAACTTGGAAAATGTTTATTTGGAAAAATTTCTAGACGAATTTGTTCGCTAGAAAGCTTTCAAAATGGAGTTTTTAAATTTTCTATAGATTATGGCTAGAAAAGATGCCCAAAAAAGCAGTTTTAAGTAGATTTTTCCGCAGAAATATCGGAAGAAAACTTGAGAGATTTACTGTAATTTGAGAAATAGTAATATTTTAGGCATATTATTTTCCTTTTACGCCTCTCAATGTACATCGAAATGGCTTGCAGTTCCTATGATTCCATTGTTTGATTGTTCACAACAATATTCACGCTGAAGCTGTCCGGCGTAATTAACAAATCTTGTGGCATTAATCGATTTATCAAGGTAGTTTAATTAACAGAAATTGAGCTTATGATATTGGCTAATCTGTGAAATTGTGTTGAACTTCCATTATGCAATTGCACGAATTACATAACGCTTGCAGGAGAGAGTTGCCATGAGTATTAAATGTACTTACAGAATGTGTGAATTATGCACAGATGACTTATTTTCATAAACAATCATAATTACCTTCAATATCATTATATGCTTTGCCTGTTTGATAGACCTTCAGACGCTCGATTGTGGTCTGAGCTTCTCTAACTCCTGAAGTTGTGGAGAAGAAAACAAAGGAGAAGAGCAACAAAGAAGAGTGAAATTGATTTAATTGGATTGAATGTGATTAAAGGTAATTAATTAGTTCTCCTGGCAGTTCATTGATTGCAATTCAAATTAGCCAAGGGCTCTGAAGGTATCAAGGCAGCGGAAAAGCATAAAGGAAAAGAGGAAGTTTTTCAAAGTATTTCAGATAATTTATTTCATTTTCCTCTTCAATCACATTCTTTGACTAGAAAGGATCATTTGTTGCAGTGACAATAAGTATGCAAATGGCCTAAAAACCAAAGTGAAATGCATCAAGGAGATGTGTAAATGTGAAGGAGTCGAAAAGAAATGTATACAATTTCAAGTATCCATTTGTTGAGCAACAATTCACAATCTATTGTGAAATTTCATTAACTCGAACATGCACTTCAGATAGAAATTTAAGTGAATCGCCAACCACCAATTCAGATTTCCACCCACTCTTTCTCTCTCGCTTTATAGCGAAAATGTCTGTTTTTCCCCTCAAAACTGTGGCTGTGTAAATAACATAAGGATGCTGCAAAAAAGTTTTCAGAGTGTTGGCAATTAAGCCATGATTGAATTCACAAAAAAAAAATGAAATGAAATAGTTGAAATATTGAAGTTTCATGGCGGGAAGTAAATTAAAATACAATCATGCGAAGAAAGGAGAGAGAGAGAGAAAGTCGGAAAAGGGCAAAACATGCAGTCAGCTTTCAGTTGAGAGAATACAATTACGCCACTGTTAAATAGTGCTCTTAATTAAAAGCCGCTAATACACAAATTCTATGTGCACTCAACTTCTCTGCCATCGCCAACCAACGAAACCACCCCAGAGTTTCGCTTCATGTCAATTCCCACCGCAAATGTTACAACACTTTTAGGGAAATGCTGCACTCTGTTTTGATCACACATCTTCCGCACACGCAATGTGCTTTCAACCAACAAGGAGAGCTATTTGAGGATTTGTTGAAAACAAGACCTTGTATTAAATGTAAATGGAAGGAATTTATATAGTTTATCTGGTCATCGAGAACTTGACTTCTGTGAATTTTCTCCTGAAATTAATTAATTGCAGAGAAAGGAGCACAACTTGTTCCATTCACGGTGTCTCACTTATGCAGAAAGAGTTTGGTACAATATGCAATCGCTTAAAAAATCTCTCTTAAACTGTTTTAATCTAGCGAGAATATCAAGGAGTATTTTCCCTACACATGGCGGAATGTTAAATTTTAACATCTTTGTATGTTTACCTTTCTCAATTTCACTGAGAATCGATCCACACATCCACATTTATGCCTCACTCAAAATTGAAGCACGTGGACGCAGCCGCCCTTTGCGCGCCAAGTGGCAAAGACTTCTCCTCTGCAACTGTTGAGATGCATGAGAGGACAGAAGTGGTGGGTTGCAGTGTCCCGAAAGTGGATGGGAGCAGAAAGAGTGCACAAGTTGAAAAAGTTTGCCTTTATGAGTCATTAGCAGTGGCATTTTTGCCTTGAGTAAGTGGCTGGCGGTGCCGTAAATAATACTGCGAGAGAGTATAGTGAATTTTTAATTAATATCCGCAGGGGCCTAAGAAAACTATTTTAATTAATTAGACTGACTCGGTAGTTTTCCACCAGCCCAGTGTCGGAGGCGAAACTGCAATAATTCCCCTTCAGCGCCCCAAACTCTTGGGCGCCACCCAACAGTCCCTGGCTGTAGAGCATCATACACACCCAAAGTAGACAAACAAACAGAGAGAGCATTTCTCTGGCGAGGTAATGGAATTTGTGTGCAATAAACAACGAGATTACACCATTATTCATAATATAATATGTTGTTCATTGCATAATAATGCAATTTCTCTTCCTAAGCTAATATAATTGGAGCTTATTGGGTAGCATCATGTCTCCTGCGCCACCCTTCCTTTTCGCACTCCTTCTGTCGATAAGCCATAGAGTCAAAAATATATCAAAAGCAAGAAATGCCGGCAAATCCTCAACAACAGCAGACCATCTATCAAGTGTACCCTCCAATCCATTCCTCCATCCTGTTTACTATCCAATTTATTACAATTTAAATATTGTTTGCATATGCTGTAGCAGTGAGAGGCACAAATCAATTGACGAACGACAGCACCCGAATTGAATATAATTCACTACACACCATCCCTTCCTCTCCCCCAGGGTGTGTTCCTTCTCTGACTTAGAGTGGCGTAGAGACCAGTTAAAGCATAGACTCCTTGCATTTTCACCGATCTATGACCTCGATATATATGACTTGATCGTTCTAGCAGAGTAAAATTCAAGGGGGAAATCAGTCGCAAGTTGAGACCATTAACTTTATGATTATTTAATCATTTTTATGATTATTTGTGTTCATACAAAATTTTGATATTTTTTTTTGATTTTTTACTGAATATTTGATGAAAATTTGATTATTTTTTGAATATTTTGATTATTTTCTGAATATTTGATTACAAATCGATTATTTAATACAAAATTTTGATATTTTTAAATTATTTTCTGAATATTTGATGAAAATTTGATTTTTTTTTTAATATTTTTGATTCCATTTCTGAATATTTAATAAAAAATTGTTTATTTTATACAAATTCTGATTATTTTTAAATTATTTGTGATTTTAATTCAAATTTTGAATATTTTTCAATTTTACTTGAGAAAAAACTCATTTTTTTTTAAATTATTTAGTTCAGAATTTGATTTTTTTTCTTTGTTACTTTATTTTCGAAAATGATAATTTTTTGTTATATTTTATTTGCGAATTTGATTTTTTTTTGCAATTTTACTTTAGGAAATATTAATTTTTTTGGTTATTATTTATTCAATATTTGATTATTTTGCAATATTTTTTTGGAAAACATTCTTTTTCTGATTATTTTATTCAAAATTTGTGTTTTTTTTCTTCTTCAACTTTACTTTGGAAAATAATTCGTTTTGGATAAATTTTTTTTGAATTTGATTATTTTTCAATTTTATTTGAGAAAATATTAATTTTTTGAATTTTTCAGTCAAATAATCGATTATTTGATTTGAGAACATTAAGTTTCCTCTAAAATCACCCCTTGTGATTTGCCCCTTGGTAAAATTGGTCACTTTTACGCAATTAAGGGTTTTTTTCTGTCTCTTTTAAGGTTTTAAAGCCTATCTTAGTAAACTAATTCATGCTCGTCATCACTAATTATATCGTGACCTTTCAATTTGAACTATTTAAGTTCCATAATTAAGTGAAAATACGACTTTACGCGTCTGTAGCGTTACGAAGGGGGAGATATTTGAGACAGTATTGTGTTCATGCGTTGACAGCCTCCCTAATCGCAATTTCTGTTTCCCTTAATTCTCACAGACTCATGCCGCGAGGCATCAGGCAATGTAGCCCGATCCCCAGCTCCGCACTTGCTGCTCCATCACTCCACCTCCAACACGGTGACCTCCGTGGCGAACAACAACCACAAAGGCACGACATCCGCCGCACCAGCGAATGCGCTGGGCGTGACCAGTCAGCGGGAGTGCGCCGGATGCAACAAGGTGATCACGGAGCGCTTCCTCCTGCGCGCCCTGGACCTCTTCTGGCACGAGGACTGCCTCAAGTGCGGCTGCTGCGACTGCAGACTGGGCGAAGTGGGCTCCACGCTCTACACCAAGGCCAACTTGATCCTCTGCAAGAGGGACTATCTCAGGTGATCCTCACGACCCCCCCCTAATAATCCCGCTGGACTAATGCTCTCCGGCCCACAGACTCTTCGGGACAACAGGATACTGCGCGGCGTGCAACAAAGTCATTCCCGCCTTCGAGATGGTGATGCGAGCCAAAAGTAATGTGTATCATTTGGAATGCTTCGCGTGTCAGCAGTGCAATCACAGGTAAAAAAAAAACACCCTCTCGGCCGCCATTCCACCTCTCCATTCACAGGAGTCTCGTGATTTGCAGATTTTGCGTTGGTGACAGATTCTATCTTTGTGATAATAAAATTCTCTGCGAATATGACTACGAGGAGAGGCTCGTATTCGCCAACATGGCCTACAATCCGTCGAGTTTGGCGCACATTCGAAGGCAAGTTTGTAATTTACAGGTATGTAAAATCACACTCCATCTCCTGTGACCTCAATCCCATCTGCAATTCCCTCGCAACTCTCTCTTTTCCCACCAATCCAATGATCACAACTTCTTCGATATCGAATGCACCCGCCAGGAGAGTCCCAACTTCTCGCTATCGCTCTGCTATCGCGCCCATCAGTGGGGAGAGATTAATCGCGTCTAGCGACATCCACACCCTTGATTGGATGCAACTAAATACGGATACCATTGGCATTAGCGCAACTTTGTGTGGACAAAAGCTGCTCGCGAGAGCTCCTTTTTCACGCTCTTTCCCCGCATGAGTCGCGCAAGCGACGTTGAATATAAACGCGTTATTACGCTATTGTGGCGTAAATCGTGATTGGTTATGCTAATACAGCAACCGCTGCAATGTAATCTAGACTTTTAATCACATCAATACACTCTCCATCAGCTCCAATATTGAGCTCTTACTCTCTCTCTCTAGAGATTGACTCAACATGCGAGAGCTGCACATTTGGCATTTAATTTTAAGTTAATTAGCTCAATAATAATAATGTTGACCTGGGAATTCCACGAATTTTGACGCTCTTTCATTTATTGTGCAGTTCAAATAATTGAGACAATCCAATAAAAAATTCTTTGGTCAGAACAATGCATTAGAGACAAAAGGGGGTTTAATATTGCACGTATATATGAGCAATTCAAGCGCGCACACAAAAAGGACGAAATATTGCATTAATTTGTGCAGTCCGTTTTAAGTAAATAATTTTTTTGATATATTTTTTATTATTACGAAAAATTAATGAGGTATTTTGTATTATGACAAAAGTGAATACAGTGCAATTTCTCTATTGTTTGAGGAACACAATTTTAGAGAAACACAGGACTGATGGACTAATTAGTCCTTATATTGTTTATTTCAACTATTTTTCCTCTAAAATTGCATGCATTTCGTATGGTAAAGTGTCTGGAAGTGTCGACAAGTTCAAAGCAATAAGAAACAAGTGGGAAAAGGCGCTAAGACATCAGAGATATTCGATAAGTGGCATCTCAAAATCTCCATTCAGTGCATTTTCCACTTCCTTATCAATCCCAAGGATCAATCACACGCCATGCAAATACAAATTGGTAGAGAAGCGCTCTCAGAGCGCGAGAATCCCACTTCATCCATTGTTGCATTCCTTCGCGTCTCAGGTGATTGTCACTAATGACGGTCTTCCTCCCACTCTTGCAGCCAGCCGGAGACAGTATAGGCAACTGCGGCGCTCACGCGGGACGCCTCGTGACACCCCCAATGGCCACCGTGGAGCCGGGCGTGGCGTCGATGGCGGGCAGTTCGGGCGCAGTGGCGCGCGGACCGTGCTTCGGCGAGAAGCCACAACTGCCGCCGGCCGCCGCGGCCACCAGCAACATGGGCCCGCCGCGCGATGACGGCTCCAGCGGCTACGGCAGCCCAGATTCCGAGACATTCGAGTCGCCCCAGACGTCGCAATGACGGCGCTTATGAATCTAAAGCGCAGAGTCGCGAACTTCGTGCAGTGTTTTGTGTGTAAATGGGACCAAAAATATGGTCTCTCTGTCCTCCGTGTCCTCACAGATTCAAGGTGTGCTCAATGGAAAATTGGTGGAATAATAGGAAAAATATGTTTATCAAATATCAAACACACTGTTTAAGCCGAAGGGATTTCTTGCAAGGGAGCGATTTTATTTACGAAACAGGAAATCATGGAATTCCTCTTGGTTTTTCGTAAATCGAAAACCATTTCTTCAGTACCCAATGACGGACGCACCTGTGAAATCCCTTTGGCCAGCGATTGAAACAGACAGAATATAAGTGTTATCAATGTTTCCCAGTGTCTGCGAATTTCTCTTCATTCACTCACATTGCAGTATTAAAGTTTTCCGTTGTTTCCTGTTGGAAAATTAAATCAGAAGCAAACACAGAACGCTAAAGAACTCAAAGTTGAGATAGAAAAAGCTAATTTCTATGCATTTTTTCCACTGAGATTTTAACTATTCAGTGGAAGATCTTGCGATCGCAGCGGCGACTAATCAAAGTACTGACGCGGCACTTAAACGACACCCAAGTGTATTGAATAATTTTATTTGAAGCCACACAGAATGTGGAATTTCCTGTTTTGTTGCTAAAATCTAGGCAGATGAGATGATAAGATGAATCATTTTGAAAATGACTAAGGAAATTGCTCGGAATTTCTCCATCGTCCGCTGCGATGGCTTAATCTCTCTCTCTCGTTTCAATTCTTCGTCTTAGCATTTTTGATTCGAGAATTACTTAAAATGTTGCTCAAACATCTTAAGACTTTTAAGCTAAAAAATAAACTGCTTTCTTAGCTTCATCGGTTTGCTCGGCATCTCACAATCATTGAATTCCCCTTTTTTTGACTTAAATGGATTTACAACTGAAGAGACGACGCTTGGAAATTGAGATGCAATTTAATCGCGAGATAGACTCACAGCAGCTGAAACAACGAATAAAATGGGTGTCTCTTCTCGCCAACTTGTCACACACACGTTCCTAAATTGATAAGATATGCGTAGTTATATACTTTCCATCCTTTTTCAGTCCTCGTTGACTGTGTTTCCCTTGTCTTCTCAGTTTGGCATAAAGACTGCAAGTGTGAATGGATAAAGTAAAACTCTTATTCGATAATGAAATTGTATACGAATGATTATGTCGTTGATGAGAAAAGAAATTTCCCATATGTTTCCCCTTTCCCACATTATTTCCCATTTGCGGCAATTTAAACTATTTGATATTCACGTTCGATATGAGAAGATGGTGAAATTTTAAAATCTGTGATTGTAATAAAAAAAAAGAAAGAAAGAAATGAGATAAAAAATGAAGTATTGGAGAAAAAGACACTGTTAATCTTCCCAATGGAATTCGTAATGTAAATATATATATATATATACCTTGAATTATATCCAAATAATTGAATAACTCCAATTAAATGGAATTTCTGTTCCTTCACAAAAACCTTCAGAGGGAAGGACTTTTTCTAAGAAGGTCAACTGTCTTGAAAAGTACGATAAAACTCAATAATAATAATAGGACTCACTTTCCAGTGTGACATTGTGCACTTTAACTCAGTGTTTGTCTCCCTAAATTCCCCCCTGGAAAGTACTTTGCAAGAGAATTGACCGAATATTTGGCAGAGAAAAGCATGAAAAATATCTGTAGTAAATCTTTCCCACACTGATTCTCGCCACTTTCCAGCGGATTCAATGTTAAGTGTAAATAAATGTAATACGTGCTCAACTCCCAAATGATCTCTTCTTTTGGCAACCTCCTCAAGACTTCGGCAGATTCGTGTGTGTGGAAAGCATTTAGGTAAAATGTAAAAGAAAAAAAAATATTGCGATGGACTTAACATTTAAATGTAAATAACAAATTATACTGGATGAAAACTAGATCAGTCTGCGTCACTCTTCTTTGCCAGGATCGGTTCCCGGAGGTGCTCCTTGTGCGGTGTTATCGGCAGTTGGCTGTAGTCCTTGCGGTCAATCTCGCTGAAATCGATCACAATTTGCTTGTTTTCCGGCTCAAACTTGCGGAACTTCACTCCGGCCGCCCTGAGCATGTCCTTGGAGGCTTGATTTGTGGCCCTGTGCCGGTGTCTGTCGCTCACGAACACCACCTCTCGGATGCCGGACTGGATGATGACTTTGGCGCACTCGTTGCAGGGAAACAGCGCCACATACATCGTGCTTCCGCGGATGCTGGCACTGTTCTTGTTCAGGATGGCATTCAACTCGGCATGGCACACGTACATGAACTTGTTCTCCCTGGGATCCTGTGAGTCCTTCGACCAGGGGAAGTCATCGTCAGAGCAGCCGTTGGGGAAGCCGTTGTAGCCGATGCCCACGATCCTCTTCTCCGTGTCCACAATGCACGCGCCGACTTGGCAAGTGGGATCCTTGCTCCTCTTGGCCGCCAGGAAGGCGATCCCCATGAAATACTCCTCCCATTTGATGTAGTCAGTCCTCTTGGTCGACACTGTGCGCTTCGTGGGAGTTGTCATGATTGCTGCAGTGAAATAAAACATCTTGTAGAACACAATGTTAAATACAAAGGTAAACATAACCACAAAAAGGCGAAACGTACTGAAAAAATCACTTTACTAAGTATTTTGGTACTTACCTATTATTAGGATATTATCTCTAAATACACAGAAAGCACTTAAAATACTACTTTTTCTAAAAGACGCCGATAAGTAAGGATATAAACTGGCTTTTACCGCCTTTTTCAAGAATTGCACTTTTTCGCACGATGATTTGTTGACAAAAACTTTAGTACATGCGTTTTTAGAACACATTTCAAATTCCTTACATTGCATTTCTTAAAATTTGTAATTTTCTTATAAAATCATATTTACACACATAAAGCGTACTTTGCACTTAATTTAGAGTGATTTAGGGCTTCATTCCTTTATTTTTTGGCGCATTAACAGCAAGATTATAGTCACGATGTCATATTACGTATCACATAGTCATAATCCATTCAATTTCATGTTGAATAGGTTGAATGGATGAGAAATTAATACATTTTTCTACAAAATCGTGCGCACGTGCCTTAAAGCTGAATGTCGCAATAAAAGTCTATTGTGAAGTCGATATTCGGCAGTTTTACTGAAGCTTTCTAGGCAACAAGGTTTTACATGAAGTGTTTTGCAATCATTCTGCTTTATATTCTGTATTTGGCACACGGTGCCAATATACTGGTGCTAGACACTGAACATTCTCGTAGTAATCACATTTGGATCAGGACTATAACAGCAGCTTTGGCTGAGAAAGGACACAATGTGACATCATTATCGACATATATCGAGGAAGAAACACCGAAAAATTTCCACTATCTGCATCTGGATAAAGTTTACGATGTTTTTTATAATCCAGAAGATGAAGATTTTGTGCTGAAACCGGATTTTTTCCTCTGCGGAGAGATTAATTCGTATCTTCAAATAATTTTGTCCTTCCTTCCAATAGAGTTTGTGCTGAAAGGTTGCCTGAAATCAAAAGGATTCCGTCAACTTCTTGCCTACCCAAATGATTTTAAGGTACATAGCATGCGTATTTATCAATGGAGTATTTTTAAAACACTTTTTAATTCACTTACAGTTCGATTTGGTGTTGCATGACTATAGTGCCTTAGGAGTCATGTTGCCATTTGTGAAGAAATTCAGTGATCCTCCAGTGATAGCATTAATATCAACCTTCTCAGTGGAAGTCACAGCGCCAGTCTTTGGAGGAACAATTCACTCTTCCTATGTGCCGCGTATATTGAATGATATTGATGATTTAACAACATTCTATGGACGGTTTAACAGCTTCGTAAAGGCTCATCTGGATTATTTCTGGAGAAAATATTTCAGCGAGCCAAGGCTCAATAATATGTTGAAGAAGAAATTTAATTGGGACGTAAACGTTCGAGAATTGAGTAAACTCTCAAAAATTGCACTGGTTAACAAATATCCAGGATTAGATATTATTGAAGAAGCTCTCCCAAATGTAATCTCAGTAGGAGGACTACAGATTCAGAGGAATAAGAACCTTACAAAGGATTTTCAAGAAATCATGGACAATGCCAAGAACGGAGTGATCCTCTTCTCTTTGGGAACTAATGTAAAGAGCGCGACACTTGGTGTTGACAGACAAATAGAGATTCTGGAGGCTTTCAGACAGCTTCCTGAATATACATTCATCTGGAAATTTGAAGCCGATTCCTTACCAGTAGATGTTTCTCCAAATGTTATCGTGAAAAAGTGGGTTCCGCAATGTGATCTTCTGGCTCATCCTAATTTGAAACTCTTCATCAGTCACTGTGGCCTTCTTAGCACACAAGAAGCTGTCTGGTACGGTGTGCCTATACTTGGACTCCCAATTTTCTTTGATCAATTCATAAATTCAGAGGTGAGCGTAAAAACTGGATTTGCTGAAAGGGGAGATATAAGAAATATTGAGAGAAAATCTTTCAAGAAATTGATTGAAAAGATGATGAGTAATTCGAAGTATAGAGAGAATGCAAAGATTCTGTCAGAAATCTTTAGGGATCAGATGGAAACGCCTCTAGAAAGGGCAATTTGGTGGATTGAATACGTTCTAAGACATCCTAATATGACTCACATGGAAACACCGTCCAGGAATCTCAATCTGGCTCAAAGAGAATCCTGGGATGTCTTAGCACTTCTCTATACACTCATTCTTGTTTCTGCATTGATGTCTGTAAAGTTGTGCTGTTTTATTTGTCAACGTTGCACTAGGAAAATACGGAAAACATATATTGGAAAACATTGGAACCTAAGGATTTAAGGAAATGAGTTTTTTTTTGTAATGAATATCCGAATTAAAGGAATTAAAAATGATAATGCGACTTTAGGTCTGAAACAGCAATGTTTGCCGCTTTTCGTACTTACGCGTGTGTTGCTGGGCTTGCCAGCCGGGCGTCAGCTTTTAGTACACACTTTCCGGAGTCCGTGCGCTTTCCGGAGACGTCAGGCTGGTCGCCCTGCGTGAAGAAAAGTGTGAATCATGGAGTAAATCGAGGCGAAAACGCATTTGTTTAGTGAATCGTGTGTTGTATATTGCAGTAGAACAGTGCTGAGGGAATGATGAATCTTGTGCGGCGCGTGTGCGACGGCTTCTGGTCACCGGACGTTTGGCTGCCGCCCAACACAACCTGGGCGGACATCGCGCCCGGGGCCCGGCCGGACGTCACCTATGCCGACTACAGGCACCTGATCTTCGGCCTGCCGCTGGCCCTCGTGATCCTGGCCATTCGCTACGTGCTGGAGAGGTGAGCGAGTGCCACATAACCTGCAAGCGGCCGGACTACGCCCTCTTCCGGACCCGCACACACACACTTTCGGAGTTGTGGCGCATCGCGTGCGCCGCCTCTGACCCCCCGAAAATCCGTCGCTAATTGCCCACTTTATTTACATGCAATTGATATATTGGGCGCAGAATGGCCAATTAATGGTTTCTCTGTCGCCATAGCAAATCAGAGTCGGCCAGCAATTGGAATCTGCCACTCGCGGAATGCCTAGTCAAGGTTTCACAATTGTGAATTCCTCACACCTTTTATCTCATTCATCGAATCTCTCTCGCGCACTCCCGGCGCCGCCGCGCGCCCCGCGGCCGCGACCGCCGAGCGCTCGTTATCAGACATGAGTCGACAGACGCGCGGATCACCGCTACTCTGTCGTCTATCGCGCCCATTCGCTGCAATCTACTCCCAATTCAGTGGAAAAGATACCGGCGCTCATTTGAGTCAGAATTCCGATCATCTCCGCTCAGCAGGCTTCGGGCAGCGTTGCCACGGTTTCCGTGACCAGTCAAATCAGACGATCTTGTAGGAATCCAGCAAGCGCTGGAATTGCCGAAATAAAACCAGCTCAATAGGAAAACTGTAGGGGAAAGTGGGCTGCATTTGACATTTGAGGAGCTCAATTAGTTCCTCTATAATTCGCAAATCAATCAATGAAGACCCTTTTTGAAGCACTTGTCGACTGGCCAGCGTGGCCAGATGAGAAGATGTCAAACAAATACAAAATACAATCTCTCAGCCAAGAGAAACATTCAATCAGGCCGAGAAAAGTCATTTCGATTCAAGTAAATTCATGTCTAGTGCTTTTGTTAATATCAATTTTTAATTTGCAGAATTTAATATTGACTTCAAAGTTGCCCCACTTTTCTCTACACTCACTCGAAACACCTCAATGAGTGATTATGGTTGAAATTTCAAGTTTTTTTTTTTACTTCTTAGTTTTTGTCTCTAATCTCGTGATAGAATGAGCAAAAAAAAGAAGCAATTAGTCAATAAAACATGCAAATAAAAGCGTTTCAACCGCATTATTCACATGCGAAGCTTTGAACTTGAAGAAGAGATTCTCAATGTGTTTCAAAAAATCATGGGGTCTTGAGGAGTAGCAGCGAAAGTGACCGCGGTGCTTGACTTCGGGTCGCCCTGCTTCCGTCTGTCCGCTGCTGGCAGACGGGAAGTGTTTGCATAATGCATCGAGCATTGAACAGTTGAATGTGTCTTCCCAGGTACTGGCTGGCGCCCGTGGGAAAGTCCCTGGGGATCAAGAGCTCGCGCCCGAAGCGCGCCACGCCGGTGCCGGAGCTGGAGGAGGCTTACGCGCAGTGCAGCCGACTGAGGCACAAGGCGGTGGTGACGCTGGCGAAGAGGCTGGACATGACGGAGAGGCAGATTGAGCGCTGGTGGCGCCACCGGCGGGCGCAGGACAAGCCATCGACGCTGGTGAAGTTCTGCGAGAACTCCTGGCGCTGCATCTACTACACCTACAGCTTCATCTATGGCATCGTGGTGCTGTGGCACAAGCCGTGGCTGTGGAACATCAATCACTGCTGGTACGGTTATCCGCATCAGGTAATGAGACACGACGGCGATCATGTGATAATTTGGGGGGAAAACAATTGATCGTATCTGTGTTTGTCTTTCGCAGTCGGTGGACAATGATATTTGGTGGTACTACATGATCTCCATGGCCTTCTACTGGTCGCTCACCATCTCGCAGTTCCGCGATGTGAAGCGAAAAGACTTCTGGCAGATGTTTGTGCATCACATGGTGACACTGCTGCTGCTCGGCCTCAGCTGGGTCTGCAATATGCATCGCGTGGGCTCACTCGTGCTGGCCGTGCACGATTGCGCGGACATCTTCTTGGAGGCGGCGAAGCTCACCAAGTATGCAAACTACCAAAAAGTCTGTGACACCATTTTTGCCATCTTCACTGTTGTCTGGATCGTCACGCGTCTCGGCTTCTTCCCGCGAATTCTCTACAAGTGCGTATTTTTCTCTTATCGCTTTTATCGCATTTCTCTCATTCCTCTAACTTTTTCTACTTCAAATTTTGGCACACAATAAAAATAACGAGGTTACATTTTTGTTGTTGTTTTATAAACCAATTAGAAAAATTTGTGAAATTCAAAGCAATTCAGTGAAATTACAATTTTTCTTTTTTTCATGAAATTTCACTACATTTGTCATATTTTACGTGCAAAATTGACTTTCAATTCCACTTATTTATGTAGATATTTTATTGATTTTTTTTTTTTTAAGATTTCTAATGCAAAATTATCCATTTTAACACGTAAAAAATTCATATATTTTGATTTCTTGTAAAGACAAAAATTGGAAGATTTATTAAACTTAAATTGGTTAAAATATCATAATTAATTAAATTCACAGCACATCCGTTGAGGCGCCGCGGATTCTGCCGATGTTTCCTGCTTACTACATCTTCAACAGTCTTCTGATTCTGCTGCTGATTCTGCACGTGGTGTGGACCTACTTGATCCTCCAGATCGCCTACAGGGCGGTGCAATCGGGCCAGATGGAGGGTGACATCAGGTCCAGCTCGAGTGACTTCTCCGAGAGCTCGGAAAACATGACGCCCGTGCAGAATGGCACGCCCATCATGAAGACGAAGACACCAAAGTCTCCCAATGCCGCCAAGAGTGCGGCACAACAGCATGAGAAGAAGACGGGCTAATCACACGTGCTTCATCAGCACGAATCACACCCACACACACACACACACACACACACACAAGTCACGCTAAAGTAGAATTTAGAGGTTTAAGGGGAGGGAGAGAAAGAGAAAGAGAGAGAGAGAGATGTTTGATAGTGCATGTGGATTATTTAAGCTGACAATCGCCTTTACTGTGCATTTGATTGAAAAAAAGATGGATTAGAAATTAGAGAAGAATGGAATTTAGGACAAGTGCGCGCCTCCAAAAGATGCATTATACTCTTTACATTAATTGTCCTTCTTTTTTGGCTAGAAAAAAACAAACATACAATACTTATACAATCATCTAGGATTTCTTTGTTGTCCATTCCATTTAAAAAAAAAAGTCTTTAAAAGCAAGATCTTTGACAGCCTTTGCAATTTTCACACTTTGCAAATTACAAACCAACAGAAAATATATCTGGAGACTTTGATGTATAAGTCGCTGGATTTCTTACTAAATTTATGTATTCCAATCGTATATATATATATTTAGAAACAAAGAATAATGTGCAGAGCAACTTAAATACTGTAAAAGGATGAGATCATTGTATAAATAAATCTACCTACCATAAGGACAAGTGTGTGGAACTCTTTTCTCTCGAGGATATCGAAATGCTGTGGGTGTTTTTTTTCTTTTATGGTCTTCACGTGTAAAATACACCGTTTATTCAACAAATAAGTAGATCAGATATTTCTTTTAAATAAATGGCCACAATATCAGTCGCCGTGGTTCTTATTTTCAGTGTCTCTAAATAAAATCCTAAAAATCTACCCTGTTTCTCTAAGTCTAAGGAGGAAAAGAAACTACTGCGCGCATCCCTTAAATGTTGCGTGGAAGAATTAAGTATGATTGAATAAATAAAATGTTTTAATGAAATATTTTGTGATTGATAAATTGGGTAGAATCTTGTGACATGGAAGCATTCTTTACTCTCTATTTCTTTATTAGCTTTTTAACATATTCACGACTTTTGCTGACAGCAATTTTTATTGGCTAATTAGCATCTTGCTTGATCCTAAAATTAGGGTTATTTGCAATTATACGACAATCAGGATGGGCACTGATGGTTTATCAAAGATAGTGGAGTTGGAAGAAAGGCTTGCATTGGAAGATACTGATTAATACGAAATTCACGAAAGACATTCAAAAAGCACAAGATTTCCACTTGTTTCAAGGAACATATTGACATAAACGCAAACTCTTTGAGTATTTGTGAATAAATTAGTTCTTTGATTTAATAATATTCTTCATTTTGATCAACATTAACACCGTATTTATTTGAGTTGAAATCTTGGTTTTTTTTTGAATGCAGTAGCGAAATAATACCAAATTGAGCATTCTCTAAATAGTTTTAAATATATAGTGTTTTAAAATCTAAATCGTTTTCACAGTGCTTCGTTGGCATAAAGTGAGTGTTTCTATCGAAGTGAAATTTTGTAGCCCTGAATGATTTAACGTTAAAGAAAAGCACCTTTTATATAGCCCATCACTGACTTTTAACATTCAAGTAAATACATTCGATTTACACCAAAGATTATACTCTGTATATTTAGCAATTTTTTATGTCCCGTATTAGATCCTTCCTGTGATTCTATTAGACTAAATGTGCGCCCTACGCTTATCATATATGAAATATATATATATATCAGAGTACAAATGTGCAATTTTTCCTTCAATACTTTTTTTTCCTTCTTCTTCGTCTGTACAAAGTTTCAAATTTCTCTCTCATGTGTAAAATCCTCCCAAATTCTCCTGACTATACAAATGTGAAATAATACAATTAAGTGCAAGAAGACATCGATGTCCTTCATATGGTGAAGATTCTTGTCATATATATGTGTGTTTATGTTTCTTTTAGGCCCTACAACTACACCTCCTTGTATCAACAATTATATATATTCTCAATCTTACGCTTTTTCGTCGCCTCTGCGATTTTACATAATACTCATAATACTAAATGAAACGCTCACCTCTGCGCGCCTAATTGTCCTTAACTAATGCAGAGGACTTTCATATATAATAATTCCACGATGTGGGTATTAAAATAATCACCATTCAGTTTACAAAATACCACGGATGATGATTTGATTTACAATTTCATGCTTGGAACAAAGATTTGGGCCCTTCAGATCTCTCATTGGCGTCCAAGAGCTGACAAGACATCCGTGCGCTTCTCCTCGAGATGAACTTTCATCTCCTCTGTGAATGGATCGAAGGACATCAGGCGCTTCTTCCTCTGGTAAATGCCCTCCTTTCGTGACATTGCGCATGAAAACATGTTCTGAAATTGACCAAAAAAACAGAAGTGAACCAAAGCCAGACAAAGAGTTCAGCGCAATCTCAACCTCGTCAATTGGCCAGTTGAGAAAGTGCAGAACACTGCGAAGAGTGCCACCGACGTCAGCCACCAAGTCATCGTACAGGACAACCTTGAGTGGTCCCGTGAAGTTCCTGCCCCAGCCCAGGTTCATCAGCTCCCACGCCGTCAGCTGCTTCCGCACGAATTGCTCCCAATCTGCAGAGAAGCGACAGGAGATTGAGCGCGCACAGCTCGCGTGGCGAGGAATTTGGACTTACATCTGCCTTTGGTGCGTTTGTAGCGATCTGGCGAGGCGAAGCCCACGTGGCCGCCACTCTGGCGATTGAACTCCGCCAGGATGGCCTTCTGCGGATCGCGCACCAGCAGAATCGCCCTATCGAAGTTCTGCCACACTTTAGGCCCATGTTCGTGGGTCTTCACAACGAGCACCTGATGAGAAAACGACACATTAATACGATTTATCACCGATTTGAAACAGAAGTGTTTTAGTGATGAAAGTCATTGAATTTTGAGGATATCTAGCCAAGAATCTCATTAATATTACCAGAGTAAAGAATACTAGACGTTTTGCAGTTAAATTGTGTGAAAATCTTTCATAAACTGGTGTCAGAAATGGGATTTTGAAGTAAAATTATGCTAATAAATAATTATTCTGAGTTTTCATGTACTGCAAACGTAAAAAAATTGGCATAAAAGTGATAAGAAATTACTTTGCACAAGATTCTGCCGTTCACACAATCAGAAGTGGGATTGTAAATCACTTACCGAGGAATTTCTTACACTTTCCGCTGGGAAGCCTGACTTCATCAGTCCGTAGTCTTTGTAAACACTGCCCGTGAGGATGCCCGTGGCCTGTTGCAGCAGATACCGCAGCCAGGTGTTTCCGCTGCCCGGAAAGGAGGCCAGAGCCACGACTTTTCCGTGCGGCGCAGCTTCATTCGACGAGCTGACCGGCGGCAGCGGCGGCGGCGGCGGTGGCTTAGTGGTGATGATCAGCGCCGGATGGCCGGGAAAGGTGTGCAGCATTCGCGGAGGTCGAACGGGAAGTGGCAGACGTCCATCCAGATATCGCAGCTCACGACACCATCGAATCGGCTGGCGACGTCCGAGGGTGCCCAGCTCCCTGCCATGTGGTGTGCTGAGCTGCCTCTGCAAGTGCACAATTGCGTGAGGGACATGGCTCTGGCCCAGGACATTTGCAGCTGCATCTCACCTCGAAACCGCGCGAAGTGAAGCGCTGAGGACTGTGATTCTGAATGCTGAGAATCGAGAGCAGGAGAATGCCAACCACGTAAGCCACAATTGTTCCAACTACACCAAATAGTCTCCAGCCTCTCAATGCCATTTCCAGGCATTTTCACATCTAGCCAGGCGATTCCTGGAACGGACACACACCGCGATTCTCAATCAAACTCACCACAAACTGAGGCTGAAGGTGCATAAAGCTCACTGCTGGGCGCAGAATGCAAAATCTCCGCAGGCAATTCAATTGTTTCCGAGTGTAATCGAGTTGGGAAAATTCTCTCGCCCCGCCAACGCCAAAAGGCTTGAGAACACGACCAAAGTCTCTGGATCACGCCAGAGAGAGAGAGAAAGAGTGTGTGGAAATGCGAGAATGTTTTGGAATAAAGTCAGATTTGCACATGACTTGGAAGCGGCGAAACGTTAATTATTTAACTCTTTTCTCGCTGTATAATTTTTCTTTTTGCTGCACTCTTACGAAATACTCTCATTTTGAGGGGGTTTTTCGTGAAAATTTGTTGCCATGTTAAAACAATCATCTTTTCACTTGGAATCTCGATAAAAATTCAACTCTATATTTTTTATTATTCGTCAAAACAGTCTAACTTTATTTCTACGGAGAAAAATGTTTCTTTTTGCTCTTTCACATCATTTTAGTAACACATTAAGCAATATCTGTTGCTGTCTTAGAATACAAACAAGAACACATTTTATTACCACATGAAGCTGATAAATCCTCCTTGTTAATTATCATGGTTTTTTTTTTGGTGTTCTTTGTAGTGCTTGGAAAAATTTCTCTTTGCTTAATTGTAGTTGAAATTATAGTTTATACGTTTCACCCTGTGGATTATGTGTAATTTTCCCTCCATTCCCTCATTGTTTTCCTTGGTAACAACGCCATGATTGCCCGAAAACTCCTCCAATTTCCATCATTTTCGAATAACACTTGAAAATTCTCTCTGTACGCATGCAAAAATGTGTTGTTTTTTTCTTTATTGTATCAATTTTGCTACATGAAATATTTTCTCACGGCCTTCAATCTCTTTCACTCGCAAAAAAACCATTGTAAAATTGTGTGTGTGTGTGCAATTTTCCTGATACCCATTAAGCATTTTGTTGCACAAATGGGTCAATAAATTCTTCTCTCTCTCTCTCATTTTATTGGCTCTGCACGCAATTTCAGCCCCTTTTCCACCCCCACCCACTCGAGCCACCCTCGAGGCGCGCGTTCTCGCGAAGATTGGACCATTTCCATAATCAATTAATCTGCCAGAGCGGAAATTATGTAATACTCACACTCTCTGGGGGCTTTTTTCAGGAAGATCAAGCCTCACCTCACGACTTTTCGCCTTAGAAACAGCAGCCATTGAACCATCACACAGCGATTTTAGAGAGTCTCAAAGAGCTTGGCGAATCACTGCCAAATATCACATTTTACACTCGATTTCACAACTGTCTCGGGGCGCTTTTGTCGCGTCACAGGGCAGGGATTCTGCCCTTGGCGGTCGTCCGAGGGGAATTCTGGCACATCGCCGGGAGGGTGCGGAAAAGTGCCACGCAGCGAGACTGGGAAAAGCTGTGTGGACTCTTGTGATCACTTTCGGCCCCGCAGGAAGATCACACGGACACAGTCTCGGGCTGAGCCCAGTTTTGGAAGAAGAGGCGAGGCAGAGGGCCTAGGCGTTTGCCTTGGGAGACGTCGGGACTTGTAGTGTGTGAAATGTCACGAAGGCGGACATCGATGCCACCCGGAGTGAGCATCGCGGCGGCGCACTGGCGTCCCTGCTATTTTTAAAGCTATCGCAATCTCTCATCATTTCCTCTCAATGGAATTTCCACATTAAAAGTCAAAAGGCACGCGCGCCCTAGAATCTTTTTCTCTCTCGCCACGTCACAGAAGCACACGCTGGAAGCGCTACAAGTTAGCCCAACCGCCAATTTGCAGAGGTGTGCACACAGTTCAGCAGGGAATTGCAGGGATTTGCAGGCACATCAGAGGTCCTTGACCGCACATCTCCGCATGACAGGGTAATTAAATCTCTCTCTGTGGGAAGGAAAGTTTAGTTGGAATCGTGTTCATGATGGGAAATTACAGGCTTTCACCCCCACGTCAGAGGGGGGGAGGAAAGGTGGAGGAAATGTCGGATTGCACTCTGAACGCCTCACACTTTGAGTTTATTGAGGCGCAAGACATTGTTTACAATTCGCATTATTTATATAAATATGCGGATTTGTTTATTTTTCTACTTTCTCAGGCATGGCTTGAAAGTAACGCATCAGGCAAAGAGTCACTTCACTTGTGGGGTTTGTTTATGTCTCAGCACCGGCAAAATCTCACACACGGAATATATGTAATGAATGCTCTAAAAGCTAAACAACAGAATATCCGGTGACGTCATTATGGAACATATTTAAATATCAATTTTCAAGATTCATTCTCGTCAGCCACAATAAAAACCATTCATTCATTCAATCTGGATTTGTCCATCAAACACACTCATTTGTCCCAAAGAAACAATTGCATTTAATTGTTGTCAAATTATTTAATTGTGGTTTGGGTACGAAGAAAAGACTTCACATTTTGGAAAGAAAATTATTTAATAATTTAAAAAGAAACACCAATCCTCTTATAGGGTTAACTCTTAATCCTTTTAAATCTTTTAATATTAAGACATGGAATTTATTTAAGACACAAACCAATTTTCTGCATAATTTCGGTGAAATCCTTTTTCACCATTTATTTTGACAATTATCAGAGCGAGTTTCAAGAAATACGGTTGCAAAGAAATTATCTTTTGAATGTTTTCATTTTATTTTCTTTTTCATATAAGAATCTCGTGCGGAAGCGCAAAACCTTTTCCTCACCACTTTTTATCAGTGTGACAGTGGTGAGTTCTTCCGGACGGAATTTTCCGAATGCAGTCAGCTGACCTGCCATCACGTGAAGTGCTCGTCTTGTCTGCCATTCTCGCGCTTTTTCCACCCCAAAGAGCCTCAAGCAGAGCCATCCGGATCCTCCGAGGGAAGCACCGTGAGTGCCCAGTCTGGCCGCTGTGCAAATAGGCCGCGCAAGTGCGATTGGAGTGGTGATTTGTGGGTGTTTTGTTCCATTCCAGGGTCGCGCAGGAAAATCGATAACAGAGCTGTCACACGATGCAGGGCATTCTGGGCAAGACGTTCGTGGGGCTCCTGGTGGGCGTCTCCACGGTGCTGATCATGTACCACCTGCTCACGGGCAAGGGTGAGCGCGTGAGCTTCGGCTGGTTCCTCGAGGAGACTTCGCCCTTCATGTGGGCCTCCATCGGCATCGCGCTGGCCGTCGCCCTGTCCGTGGTGGGCGCCGCGCTGGGCATCCACACCACCGGCGTGTCCATCGTGGGTGGCGGCGTGAAGGCGCCGCGCATCAAGACCAAGAACCTGATCTCGGTGATCTTCTGCGAGGCCGTGGCCATTTACGGCCTCATCACGGCCATCGTGCTGTCCGGACTGCTGGAGAACTTCTCCATGACGGCCGCCATGCAGAGCGAGCAGATTCACAGCAACAACTGGATGGCGGGCCACGTGATGTTCGGCGCCGGCCTCAGCGTGGGGCTCGTGAATCTCTTCTGTGGCATCGCCGTGGGCGTCGTGGGCTCGGGCGCCGCACTGGCGGACGCCGCCAACAGCGCCCTGTTCGTGAAGATCCTCATCGTGGAGATCTTCGGCTCGGCCATCGGCCTGTTCGGGCTCATCGTGGGCATCTATATGACGTCCAAGGTGCGCATGGGAGACAAGATCATGTAAGCGCAGCCCGCAGTATTAGCCAGCGCCGCCGCTGGAGGGATTCCTAGCTTTTCCATGCTGGAAATACATGTCATTTCGATGTTGTGTACATAAGGAAGTTAAATAAATTTATTCCAAATTTAGTTGCTAGACAAAACCAACGGACTTTCACTGCTCAACAGATCATCCGGACCCTGAGTTTGTCCACTGATGACCATGGAAGGCGTTAAATGGTTTGTATTTTCAATATGGTTCCCTTGCAAAGCAGAGATTCGAGACTTGAAATCACTCCCAAGGAATCTTTGCCAGCAAAAGATTAACGAAGAGATTGAGAATGAATTCATTTGATGAGTTTAAACCAAAATCTCTCCCGCGATTAGTTTTTCTAAACCTGAACCTTGATAATTATCTCTCATCGAGCTTTCCGGAGATTTTCCAGTGTAGAAACTCACCACAATGAATCGATGTGCAGAAAACAATGGAGAAAAACATGCAATATGGGATGAAAAAAGCTCCTTTTTCGACAGTGTTACAAATATTTATTCCATAAACGGTGTGTGATAATGAAGAATGCAGCTGGAAAAGAATAAATAAGGTCTGCTCGGCGCCCTTTGAGGATTCTTTTCACGTCCCTCCTCGACTCTTTGGCTGAGTGGATTCGACGGGGGCGCCGCGCGCCCCGGAGACACGGACACACAGAAAGGCTGGCGGGAGGCGCGCGCGCGCGCGCCCCTTAGAGCACCACGCAGGAGCTCTTCTCGCGGAAGGGATTGACCTTCTGGCTGCTGAAGCCCACCAGCAGGCAGTCCTCCTGCTCGTGCTCCGTCACGTACTTGACGATGTCCACGCACGCCTGGCTCACCATCACGCGCTGCATGGAGGCCTCGCGGCGCAGCTGGTCCACAATGGCTCTCTGTTGCTGTAGATTCGAAGCCATTATATCCATCACCGCCGTCTCAGACAGGCCTATCTTGAAGGCTGTTTCTCTCACGCGCTCGCAAACAAAAACCTCGCCTGCCGCACTTCGCGCACGACCCTGTGTTGCCGCTTTGCCGCTCACGCACGCCCCGCTAGATGGGATTCACGCACAATTCGCACCCTTTTCGCACACCCGTGAAAATCAACCTGCAGCAGAAGCAAAATGGCGAGCTGTCAAATTGATTTTGTGGTGAATTTCAGGCGAGAAATCACCATCAGAATTCCGGAACGCGATTACATTAGTTTGCAGAACATTCTGCAGATTTGTCGCAGGAATGTCCGGCAAAATCTAAAAATTTTTGAAAATTTTCTTCATCTGCACAAAAAGTCGTCCTTAATAAAAATCAAAAGCGAAAAATTTACAAATATTCTGAATTTTTACCCAAACTATTGTTCAGCTTCTTAACTATCTTTATTTCACCCGAAAAGTAGATGAAAAAAAACTGCTGGGATTTCCTGAAGAATTCATTATTAATTCAAATTAAGTGATCAATTTTTTTCTTCATATATAGATTACAAAATTGACCACTTAAGAATAATAATTACACTTGTCTGATGGTTAAAAGGGGTTTCACGAGCATTATTTTCATGTTTCTCCGACTACCGATATTCCCATTCAGAGACTTCAGACCCTTCAGACAGTCATAAAGTTGTGAAAATGACGGAGAATCTTGAAGAAAATCCAGAAATTTTGAATGGATTTAAGAATTTCCGCAAAATCTTAGAGTTATTATGTGATTTTGTGGCCACACCAATTTTTCCACGACGCTTTTGGTGCTTCAGATTCCAGATATTTGTGTTTCCTCTTCTCATGTCAAGTGCCATCATTTCCGCCATTTCCTTTATCTTTTCCGATTCAACTTCTGTCTGGGACATGACTTTCTATTCCATCGTTGTTTGCGTGGCTCATGTTCAGATCGTGGCCAAAATGGTGCCGATAATTTGCAATCGCGAGGAATTGACGAGTATTATTGATTGGTTTCAAGAATTTTACACTCTCAATGAAATTGACGGCAAAGTAAAGGCGATTTTCAAGACAGGATTGAGTGAAACCTTGAGAATTGTTGAATTATGCCTCAAGTGAGTTCAACTTTCAAAGGTTTCACAGAATTAGGATTTGAGTGATTTTAGTTCTTTCCAGATGCTTTTCGCTGCCTTATGGACTCACAGCGGTTGCTATGATAAGCTATCTTGTCTACAAAAGTATGCTCAAGTTGCACAAAATATTCTTAATAGTCACAAAATCTACATTTTTGTATTTCTTAGATGACTTCATCTATAGATTTCCATTTACTGCTGAGTATCAAGCTGAAGTTCACTTTGTATTGCTGCTGATTTATCAATCAGTGTGTATCTTCTTCAACACCTTCCTTGTTGTCATTGAAGATTCCCTTTTTGCCACCATCGGAATCCACTTCATGGGACTGCTGAACATCCTTTGCGACCTCATTCGACTGCTGGATGACTCTTCTGAGGATTACTCTGACTTGCTTAGGAGAATTCAACGCCTCCATTCAGACATTATCAATCACAATCGCATTTTTAACAATTTGCTATTCCATGTCTTGCTTGTTCAGCTCTGCTCCAGCATCTTCATCATCTTCATGACCTTCTCCGCCATTCGCTTCAACACTGTTGACGTTGTTTCCTACTTTCTGGGAGCATCCGGTGTTATTCAGCTTCTCCTCCTCTGCTTGTTCGGAGAACTCATCTTCATGCGCTACAAAGATGTCGAGCAATGCCTCCAATTGACCAATTGGTATAATTTCTCCATTGCGGACCAGAAGAACTACATTCAGATCATGAGAATGGCTCAGAAATCTTATGGTCTGAAGGCAGGTGGAATGTACGACATCTCAATGTCAACGTTTATCGAGGTATAAGAGAAGTCCATCGGGAAGAGAAGCAAGAAAGTTACTTATAAATCTCTCTTTTCCAGATAATGAAAATGACCATTTCGTACTGTGCCATCATCTTTGCGCTCATCGAATAAACTTTCCCCGTCAGCAAAGTCTAATGGTTGGAATTGAAATCGATGAAAACATGTGTTACTTTTCCAGGCCATTGATTTTTTTTTCTTCTTCATAGCCAAACAACTGCGCATTCTTGCATCAGAGTTCTGCATTGTTTCCTCTTCGAAACCGGAATAAATTGCTTCGTTCAGCAATTAAAAAAAATAAAAAATAATTGTATATGCAATTACTGGCAATAAAGCGTTCTTGCATCCAGTTCTAAGCGACATTTTTGCAAGAACAGCGCAAGGATTCAGTCATGGAGATTTTGTACGAAAACTGCATGTTGTTCCTGAAGTTTTTCTTCACCAACAACACTCTCAATCGACTATTCACGCGAAAAGTGTACAATTTATGTGCATTCTGCTCACTTGTGTTCATCCTGATTGGAACAATTTGTACACTGTGGCACGCTTACAGTGTTGAATCTGAAGATCAATCGGTTAAAGTAAAGGCTGTTAATAAGCTCAATTTGGTGACTCTGTGTCAAGGCATCTTCAAGATCATTGGATTCGTCGTGAGTCAAAAATTGTGGAATGAACTGCTGAAATGGATTGATGGCTTGAAGGAGAGGAATTTTGAAAATTCCATCAATGAGCGTGCAAAGCAACGAATTAAGACAGCGATAAATTTTTCTACAAAATTTGCCAAGTAAGTTTACAAGTATGAATAATACTAATTATACTTAATTTTTGATGGTGATGAAATTATTTCTTAATTTTAGATTTTACAATATTACCGTGATGTGTGGCGGTTATACGTTTACAATTGGCTACGTAGTTTCCAAAACGGTGGTCATAGCAATTCCTTATGTCTCAAGTGAAGAACACATTTTCTCATTGCTCACCTTTCAAGCTTTCATCATGTCTATAATGCTTTTCTGGACTATTCTCTTTCTCGACACATTCTACATTGTGATTGGCATTCGAGTGATATCATTTACTCACATCCTTCGCGACACAATTCGCTGCCTTAAGACACCTGAAGAAGTTGAAAACTCTTCAACTATTCTCATAACTTTCCATCGCCTTCACACAGAATTCATTGAGAAATTCAACCAATACACTGATGCCATTTCTCTGGTGTCTCTTCTGCAACTCTCAAGCAATATTTTTATGTTGCTCTTTTCATTTTACATCACCGGAGAATTTCCCAGAAATCCCGAATCTTACATGGCTATTTTCGCTGTTTTATTCCAAACATTTGTGGTCTGTTTTTCTGGACAAATTATCGAAATGATGACTGAAAAGATCTACGACGAAATGTTGGATACAAATTGGTATGATTTACCAATCAAAGATCAGAAGACGTTCCTTATTTGTCTCCAAATGGCCCAAAGAAGTGTTGGATTGAAAGCTGGAGGAATGTATAACATTAATCTCTTTCTGTTTGTTCAGGTTAGGGGCCTAAAATATGTAAAAATTAAATTCATTCTATGCATTTACTGATCATATCCTCCAGATTGTTAAACTTGCACTCACCTGGTGTACAATTATGCAGACTATTATCAATTAGAGCAGTGCGTCATGGTTTCTCGTATTGGAAAATCTTCTATGAAAAGTAGTAGATCAGCGTGCTGAAGAGGAAGGAGAAAATCACCTGCTGTTCTTCACATGGGAATCAATGCAGATTGCATAACTTGCGCAATAGAGCTTGGCAACAGAACACAATAATTACACACTAGATTATACTTTAGATTCTACAAGAAGTTAAATTTGAAGATTTTTCTTCGTGCATTTTGATGTAATTCTAATTGGTATTCCAGTATTATGCAATTATGGAAGCTGTTATAAATTATTACAGTACTAGATTTTAAGGAATACTAAGCTTTTGATCACAGCCAATGTCAATTTGAATGTTTAATGCATATTGTAGAAACATTAATAAAATAAAAGCATAATTTATAAACATACATGATAAAGACTTGAATTTAAAATTTCATTTAGAGTTCGTCGCTTACCTTCTGTTGAAGTCTTTTGTTAAAGAAAGGAGTTTGCATTGGATTATTTACTGTGAAAGTCCAAAAGTATTGGTTTTTCTTCCATTTTTATTGTATTACTTAAGTGATTTGTTTTTACAGAAATTTAAAATTATGATTCACTTTCTCATTAGCAATTACTTAATGTCTAAATATGTGTGTTCCTTGAATGTTAAATGTGTGTGTTCCTTTTCATTCTATAAGGTCTCTGTTTTTTGGGTTCTGCAAATACACTTTTCCCTTATTTTTTTTTCTTCTTTTTTCTCCTTCAAACTCTCTCACTTTCGGTATACATTTCTAATCACATTCATAAGTTAAGTTTAATTTCACTCCTATGCCTTGCCGAGGATTTATATTTCTCTTTTTTTCTTGGAGGGGTTTTGGAGAGAAAATCTTGCATTTTTTTACAGAATATTGTGAGATAAGCATGAGAATTGGCCTCATAGAGGAGTTTACTCTGACACATTTCTTGTTTTTCTTTATCTTGGAATATTTGACAGAATTTTAAGTGACATTATTCTTGTAACCTCTTGTGATTTTAATTTCTTTTTACACATTTTTTTTTAAATATTCTTTTACATGATTCTTTATTGTAATCTGGATATTTCCGTTCATGTTTGTTCTATTAAAATTAAAATTATTCGATATTTTATGTTCATTTCATAATTGTTTTCTGCCTTCTATTAACTCAACAATCAAACTTAATCACTACTACGTATATAATATTCAAAAGGAATACCGCCGTGTCCTGTAGTTATTTTATCTTTTGATTCCACCCGCAAAACACTTCTCTACACTCAAAGGATAAATTTATTTACACATTTTTTCCCACCTTCTCACCTGATTCTGCTCCTCCTTGGGAATCCCCCTTCCCAAACTTACATTCTGACATTCTGAATTAATCTATTAGAACGCTCCTGTCTAACGTCTTTCTATAGTATGTATAGGAACTTTGGTTTCACATATTTTTGCCATTAAATAACAAAAATTATGAATATTTTATAGAAATAAATTCTCGTCCCATGGCCACAGAGGATCAACTCATGATTAAGCCTACATTTTAAGCTAATCCAGTGTGATTGAGAACCTATAAATCTACTCTGTACAACGAATTTGAACTCATTGAAAATGACACAACGTTTAATTTGAAAAAATTTGCTGTATTTTTCCCAGCAACTAAATAGAAACTCACGAGCTTCACAATTAAATAATTATACAAAGAATTTCTTGTAAATTCGCAGTGCTGCAAAATAATTTATGGCAAAATGAAACTTATATTTATAACGGTTTTTTCTTACATACTATGTAAAATTTCCAAATATCTCATCATCTATTTTTATATATACAATTATAATGAATTCATCATACAAACACCCTCAGTGGACTTCTTAAGTGTCTCCTTGTGAATTCTCGTCGCTACTTTAGCATCTTGCAGTGGTTCTCTGTGTCTAGTGATAAAAGTGATATGAAACAAATCAATGGTCATCTCTGTGAGATGAGATCCGTAGTAAATTCCTCTATCCCACATTATACTATTCCTTTGGACATCATTCGGACTGTATTCTTTAAGGCTTGACGCTTGTTGCAGAACCAAATTCGTATCACTTCACGCTCGTATCCCAACTGATGAGCTAAGCCAGTTATTTCTGTTCCTGAAATTCAATGGAAAAAGGGGATAAGGATTAATGCAAATAAAGAGGAGAATAAATTATTTTTCCAAACAAAGAAATACAGTAAAAATCTGCAAATCTTTAAGTAATTCAAAAGCTCAAAAGCTTGTCTATCGTTACCTGACGGATGTGTGTTGCGCTCAAAGTGAGCATTGAGCAATTCTAGAGCTTGAGGTGTGAAGGAAGTTCGTCGTTTTCGCTTCTTCGATGGCTCCACACCTATGAAGTCCGTCAAATGGTTCTGACCACTTTTGTACCTATTCCAGTGACTGCAAAACGTTCCAAACATTATCAACAACTTCCACAGTAATGCACAACAGTATAAAGTGAATTCACCTCTCTTCCGCCTCTTTCATCCATCTCTCAAGCACCGGCTTAATCTTCTGAGCACTCTTTGGGGTGATATCCAATTTTTCGAACCTGAGATTAACGGAGAACCAAGATTAGAGAATGCCACGAAAGAAATCAAGTCACAAGTGAGGATGAGGAAGTGAAGGAAGAGTAAATCAAACTACAAGGCAAGAATTTGACGCCCTAATGCCAGGACATTGACATGAAAATCTGCAACGCGAGTGGCAGAAGGATATTTGAAGCAAAAAAAAAATGTGAAACAAACATTTATTTTATAACTTTTCATTAACGATAAATTGAGAAATATCCAGTGATATTCTTACATTGAGGAAAAAACTTCCTTCTTGCAAAATCAATGGCAATGCCCTGGCCTTCGAGTGTTGCTAAAATTTGTCTTACATACTTAGAAAAACAAAGAGGTAATACAAAGTAAGAAATAAAAATTAATTCATAGAAATAAAAACAAATAAATACAGAACTTGGATGAACATCTTGCAATTCTTGGTTAGCACTGTCTAAGGAAACTAAGTAAATTAATCATACTGTGGTGACAAATTATCACACAATTTGTTCTATGAAGTGTCCTGAAAAATTTTCACAATTCGTGTGAAGTTTGGTTGTTGGGAAATTAAAGTTAGGCGGGACACTTGTTGCGTCAACTGGGGAAATATGTTGGTTGTGTTTTAATGAACAATTCGAAATTGTGTGCGAATTGGTAGAATTTTTAATTGTAACTGGCCTTACCTCCGCTTATGGTTAAAAGTTAATAATTTATATCGTATTGTTTTTTTCTTTCTTCTTTTTCATAGAAAATAAATTTTTATTAAAAATTAATGGGACAAATGAAAAAATGTCAATTGCAGCTATTTTGATTGTATAAATTTTTAACGCTCGTGTCAATTTGTCTACATAAATTCTTGCATATGAATGAAAATTAGTCAAAATTCAGAAAGGAATTTGCAAAAAAATTGATGCCAGGATAGTATTTCTCAATGTTCAGCAGAAATTTTGACTGATTTTCTTTCACATTCATGCAACAGAAAGGAAGAGAAAAAGGGGGTTTTAAGTTTTTTTTGGAAAAAAGACAACACACGCAACCACGCAAATTAGGAAAATACCAATAGTGAAAATTAAGGAAAAGAAACTGAGGAAACCAAAGGCGAGAGATGGTAAGAACACATCCTTCCACATACATAGCCTGTTGTTGCGTCGAGAATTGAGCGGCGTACATCTGTGCGGCGAGGGCACTGCTTGGAAATCCATCGAGAAGGATCACGAAAATTAGATTGGAAAAAAAGGAAAAAATACAGGAAAACAATTAGATATTTTGCATTAAGTTCAAGAGGATTTTATTGTGTAAACACTTTATCAACAGAAGAGACAGAGAGAAAGTGTTTTAATCATGTCCTGGCATCCTGACGTTTTTTTTTTAATACTTTTAAGATTTGAAAAAAAATTGAAAAAAGAAACAAAATCATTAGACTAGAAGTACAGGTTTTTACGGTGTTGATCTTGAACGCAGGACAATCTATCAATGTTTTTTTTTCTTCTTCTTCTAAACTTTCACGATTAGAATAGGCATTTTCCAAAAAAACAACAACAAAATTGTCTTCGATGATGGTTAGGCTGATGATCTAGCCTGGAAACATTCTCAAAGATTCTTCCGAATTCTCATTTGCATCGGAATTTTTTTAGTTAACACAATATCGTTAGGCAAACGAGAAAGGGGAATTATCACAGCTAGAAACCTCAATGGCTTACCTGCAGATGGCGCTCTGGCTGTAGGCCGGCCCCTCTGTAACCGAGAGAGCCTGTCCCACCTGAGTCTGGGTGAGTCCGAGCGAGAGACGCCTCAACTTGAAGGCTTTGGCAAACTCCTTGATCTCATCCAGGTCGATTCCGTCCACCACATTGCAGGTCGCCTGATTGATGGTAGGTTCATCTGCAAGGTAGGTTCCTCAGTGTCAAAAGCATGTCTCTCCGCACTTGGAGGGTGGCCAATTTGGCGCTCAACATGTGAGCTTTTGGGGAATCAATGAGACTAATTCGAATTTGCCGACAAATTGACGTCATTAGGCACTAATTAGATGAGCGGGGAGTGGGGAGGGGTGGCAAAACAAATTGATCGAAGCGGAGTGTCGCTGTGGAATGCCTCCGCACGCCGCCACTCCACCTCACCTTTGCCAACAATACAGCAATTGTGGGACGGATGTGAACAATGTGTTACATAATAAGTTGGAAATTTATCAATAATGCCGCATGATTAGTGTTCTCAACTGGCGCTGGTGATATAATATATATATTATTGGCTGAAAAGGGATCTAGGTTTGCATACTCACTAGGAGAGTCCGCCAGGAAATCCGCGTTTGAGTTGTCCGTGCCGGTCGGCGAGAGGTGCATCGAGGACGGACTGAGCTTCATGGGTGGCACAGTGTGTTGACTCGAGGGGTGGTTCGAGCCAGAGCCAGAAGAACTGTGGCTAGGCGACGGCCCGTGAGCCTTGGTAATGGTTATTTCGCCGTTCTGCGATGATAGCCTGCAAAGTGGATTTTTCATGAATATTCGCAAGTCCCCGCCCACCGATAAGCCACGCCCATGAGTTAATTGACGCTCACAAACTCAGTACTTTACCACACTCACCTATTCATGGTGGCTGGAATGGGCGAGTGGCGGCTGGTGCTGGTGGCCGTGAGCAGGGACGCTTGACTCTGCGGCCCCGCACCCGACGGCTGTCCGCCGGCCGCACCGTGGCCGTTGGCCGGCGTGGCTGAATAGAGCGGCGAGTGTGGTGCCTGTGAAGTCGCGGTGGCCGTGGTCGTTGGCAGCTTGTCGAAGTGGTGGGCGGCCGAGGATCCCCTTGGCGGGCTGGCTTTGGGCGACGTGTGCAGGTTACGGCCATGGTGGCTTAGCGGGGGTGACGCAGACGCCATCCGTCTCGGCGACACGCTAGAGGACGGCGTCACGGGCGCCTGTGGCATCGTCTGGTGAGGACTTGTGGCGCCGAAGAGGCTCGGCTGGACAGCGGACAAGAGCTGCTGAACGCCGTTGGACAGCAGATGGCGGTTGAGAATGGGCGGCGTCACGGGACCGTTTAAACTGGAGCTGCCGTTGCTGAGCGCCGCCAAGTGCTGCACCAGCTGCTCATTCGAGTGGACTTGCTGGCTCACGGGAATCGTGAGGATGGTCTGCGTGGCGATTCCTGGTCAGAAGAAGTGAAAGCTGTTAATGCATAGCTGTCTAATGGCTAGCACATTTCCCAAAGCATTTCCCTCTGTGGTGAGGAAATTTAATAAAGCCCACCCCAATGGGTCATTTGCATTTTCCGCCCACCGACATTCTTGCCACTGGTGTGAGTCAAGTTTTGGTCATGGCATCACGAGGCATCTCGTGTAATTGCATTGGCGCCGTAATGACAAATTACCTTGTGACGTGGGTATTAGCAATTGCGCCCCCTGTATACCCTGCACCAGTTGTCCTGAGGCCAGAATTAATTGCGGCAGCTGTGCACTTCCGATTGACGGCGCCTGTCCTGCATCTCCGGCGCTACCGCCGGCGCCTGTGTTGCTGCTAGGTGCGCCGCTCACGCTCAAGTTCAGCGGAGAGTTGAGCCCAGACAGGCCCAGTCCCTGCAATCCACTCAAGGACGGTGGCATCGAGGCGTGCTGAATGGTGGCGAGGTTCTGCAGCTTCTGGAGGTTCAACATTCCCTGCACTGTTGTGGACAGGACGTTAGTCGCGAGGGAAGATGGAGAGATTGTCGTGACTTCAGAGTCACCACATCGAACGATATGTACTCACTAGTTCCGTTTAGATGAGCTTGAGCCACGGCCGCGGCGGCGGCCGCCGCTTTCGCGTGCTCGGACGATGTCTGTCGATCTCCGCCCAGGATTGAGGCGCTGAACAGGCCCGTCGCCAGGCGCTCATTCAGGTGCGACGCCCCCACATGCTGTGGACTCCCCGGCGGAGTACTCTCGCCATCCCTGTCCAAGTCCTGCTGCAAGAGAAATGCAAGGAAACGTCAGTGACTCACTCGCGAATGACCTGCGACCGTGGCAATTGGAAAAATTCCCAACCACCATCGCAAAACCCTGGTTGAAAACGCACTGAAACGTGACGGAAAGGGGGAAAAAGTCGAGGAAAGCTATCGATGGATTGGAATTAATAATTAAGTTTTTCACACACTGCCTTCACCCCAAGTGCATACAATTTTATGCGCCAACGGCCAGTCTCTCGATAATAAATTTTTAATTATTATACGGACGTAAAGCGTAAAAATATGTAATTGCATTATTTTTCCTGGGACTGCAATTTTTCCACCATCGTCATTTCATCCGCCGCCGCCCCCCCCATCGATGGTCTCTTTTGTTGCACCGCACAGAATGGCGCGATTTAGGGGTGACTCCTGAATATTGAAGAGGAAAAGTTTCCAAACTCCGAGGTAATTTCATCCCCTGCGAACTAGTGTTAAAAATTTCCCTCTACACCGGCCGGGGCTTTTTCCGCACTCGGACGCGGAAAGAGTGGAAAATACAGAGAGAAAGAGTGGCGAAAAAAAAATGGTGAACGAAATTAAGTGGATTATAATAATTGATGGTCACGTAAAATATTGGAAAAATGTAATACGAAGTTTTCGAGGGTTGGCAATGATAACACACACACAAAAAAAGCGTCCCGTTCGCACCACTAATTGGGAGGATTTAAGGGCAGTTTTTATGTGTCACCGGAGAAATTGACGATGTCCCAAGTGACACTTCTGCATTGTTTATTTATTGCGCTCCTCCGCCGACGAGATATTTATTGGGTGTAATTTTGAGAGACTGAAGCACACAAAAAGGCCCATTTTACAGTGAAGGATCTGACAAGAATTTCATCCAATATGCATCCATAGTGAAATGCAGATGAAACTCTGGCGGCTTGCAAAATGACGTGAAAGTTGTTGAAAGGGGAAAAAAAATGTCTGTGAATTTATGGATGAAATTGAAGCGCACTTTTTTGCAAAAAGCTTCTAAACAACCTATTTGAGATAAGAAATCATTCATCTAATCGATGCTGTTCTGTATTCAAAGCCACAAGTCGATATCCTTCATTGTTCTCCTGTTGTCTCCCAAAATCATCCCTCAAGAGTGTAATTGGCGCTGTGAAAATGAAACAGAAGCGGCAATTTGTGTCGTAAAATGCCCCCAAAATCTCACTCAACAAGAGATAATTAGACGTGACTTCTGGACAAGGGCTTTGACTGTAAATATTTAAGCAGATTTCCAGTGTGGCAAGCGTCCGGAGCTCAATCCCATCTCGGAGGCATGTCCGGAAAAAAGGAGACATAATTAATTGTCGTGTCTCATGTCCTCGCTGTGTGACCATTTGTAACACTGCATCCAACCACTCTTCATTATGGGCAGCGCGAGCCAAAGATGACACGCTGACAGATGGCCTCATTTCCGGGATTAAAACTGAAGCGCGCGAGCGACGCGTCATAATTAGATTACACGTCTCCCCCCCCGGCGAAAGGGGGTCAATTCGCCACCCACACAGCGAGTGGGGGCGCTCCGTGGGGTTTAATTGCAAAATCGATATATGTGTGTGTGGAACAACCCTTCTCGGGCAGCGGCGCCTCAAGAAGGATGGACTGCAAACACAATTCCACGATGCACACGAGAAATCAATATCACGTTGCAATTAAAGGGCATTATTGCCCCAACGGGGCGGGGGTGGATTGTCATTTGACGTCCGTGGATGGGAGGCAAGGGTGCAAATTAATTTTTATTGCCTCGCTGAGGGGTGGAATAATAATGCTTGCATCCTCATGGAAATCATGACACAAGTGCTGTTGTCCTGAAAACCCATCACTTTCATTTTAAATCCATGAGCGGTGAAAGGGTGGTGATTTTTATTCACTCTTAAGACCCTTACAAAAATAGACATGGATAAGATCAAAGCTCAGTGTAAAAGCCCCACAAATTCTCCCTGAATATTATCCATTCGGAAAAAAATGACACACTGTACTTACTTTTTATGGGTGCGAAAGGGGAGGTTCACAAAAAAAAACCGACAATAAAATACTTTATTTGTGCGAATAATGTGCAAAATGACGAGAGAAAAAAAAATAATAATATGAAAATGGTGGAAAAATGAAGAAAACGTGCTGTGAAAAATGCCGAAATGAGTCCCAAATATTCAATTTGTCATAATGACTGAAGCCACTTCCAACCACCCTTTCCACCAATTCCGAATCCGCGGCAAAAATGCCCGATTCGGGGCGCTGAATGATGGTCAAATTGACGGCGGCGACTGTAGTTAATTTGATTCAATTATAGATTTTTCCCCATCATCATCGCCATCATATAACATGGAAGCAGAATTGCAATTATAAATCCGACATTTTACATAATGATTCGCATTGTCAATCGTGCACCCCGTGTGTGTTTGTATGCACAGAGGTAGGGTTCATTTTGAGATACGCGCGAGCAAGGGGCAAAAATTGTCCATATGAGACACGGGGGGTTGGGGGTGGGTGTTGCCGATTTAAATGAAATCCCATTAATTTCAGTTTCAATTTCCAATCGTCATCGCTGGCCACATTGTCGTGGCGCGAGGATAATTGTAGACCTAGATTGGATAACAATCATTTTCAACAATATGGGAAGTTTAGTTGTGCAAAAAAGGTTTCACTGAAGAATTAGGGCATTTGTTGTAGGGTTTTATTTTTATCTTAAACTGGACTTATCGCACAATTTTGTTGGGGGATTTTTTTCTTCTTCTGTCAATGCAGAAAAAGAAGTTGTTTTGGATGATTGAGATTATACTTAAACCGTAACACTTTTATTATAGATAGTCTCTCTAATTCAACACCGTAAATTACATCCACAATAGGCGTTTCTGGTATAAATCTTATTTAACACAACAACATCATTCTGTCTTCGTAATATTCACACTGCAAGATTGATCCAAAGCCAACTGATTTGCAGCGGAGGGATTCCATCTCAGGAAGCTTGAAGGCGGCAAGCAAAAGGGATGAATAAGAGACAGAATAATGCGAACGACGCTTGAGTCCCGTGTTCATAATAACTCTGACTCGTATGAGTAATTAATTTACTATTGTTCATTGAAATTAGTCTCCTCTCTATGAGGCACCCTCCATCTCATTGTAAAGAATATTAGATTAATGCTGCTGCTGCTACTCCTGCTGCGACAGCGACAATGTTATGTGAATGGTGAAACTCCTTGTTTATTAATAACATCAACTTGCCATACAATTCAACTTATAGTTTGGAATAAAAGTTCCCATTCACCCCCCCACTCAGCATTTCATTCTCTGCGCGCCCTTCCCTTTTTCCGGACGACGGAAAAGTGACGAGAAGTTTTTCGGCAGGGCGCACTTTCACACCCTCCCCAGCACAAGAGTCTTCTCCACACAGTTGCTCCACTTCTGCCCTCAATGGCTTTTCCCACCCCGACCGAAGGGGCGTCTCTGTGTGTGTGTGTGTGTGAGAGATGAGAGAAAAGTGAAGTGAAAGCAAGAGGAAGAAATTTTCTCGCGAAAGGAAATCAGTGTGGCATTTCACCTGTTGCTCTCTCCATGTCGCTCCAAAGGCCACCCTCCCCCCCCAAACCCACCCTCGCTGAGCAAACAAATCAACGTGGCGGAAGAGCTCCGAATGAGAAAGTTTCAAGTGAAAAAGTTCCTCCTCAATTGATGCTATTCATTGCTCGTTTCCCTCTTCTGGGGGAAGAAATTCTGCGAAAAGTGCAATGGGGTTGATAGCGACTCGCTCTGACCAATCTATACAGTGGCGAAAGCTTAAATATCCTCATTGGCATAAATTTCCACTCACTCTCTCTCTCTCTCTCTCTTCACGGCACAAAGCTTTAGCCATTGAGACAGATCGGAAGTTTTCAATTATTGCCTGGGAAAAACAGAGAAGAGCTTAGAGCTTCTAAAGCTGCTACATAATTTTGAATTTCGCCGAGAGAGCGAAGCAAAGTCCACTAAAGTGACCAGTAATAGTCTTCATCTGGCTATTATTAGGTATTAGATGAAATTTATTTCTTTGCATTAAACTTTCACGTGGACTTTCGAAGGCTTTAGAAAGCTTTGAAACAAGAATAAATCATAGTCTATGCTTAAGATATTGCCATAATCACTGCAGAAATGGTTTCCGCAATTTCATCTTCGGCTTTGAGAGCTTTAAATGCCTGCGAAATATTCTGCTGAGTTATACCCACAGAGCATATGTTTGAAAGAACAGCACAAGTAAAGCAATAATGTGATGGACTCCGAAGGCAAGCTTACGATTGCCTGCAAGTGTCTGAGAGATGGCAAGTGAGACATGTGTTCTTAGGTGAGAAATTGAGAGCTCTCAGTGTACTCTGTGGCTTTGAATGTGAAATACTGCCGCAATTGACGTCTTCAAAATTATATAGACAAGACATATGCGAGTGTAGTGGCATAGAACATTCATTAGAACACACATATGCAACTTCTAAACTCAATATGCCGCCTCTCGGCGCGGGGAGTGGATGAACAGGAAATGGGGTGACGTTTTAAATTAAGTAAATGGTGCTTTTGGTGCTTTGAAACATTCACAGTTTACACACATACGACTCACCCGCCCCATTTGCACTTTATATAGCACAAGAATAGTGGAGCGAATTATTCTTGAATTTATATACCACGGCAAAGGGGGTGTTTTTAAAAGCGCAAAGGGGGGCGGCAGAAACCTCATGATGTTATTAGAAATATTGTATGTTGTGCTCTAAGTATAAACTTTGTTGTTTGAACTTAATTCAATTAATTGGTTATAAATTATAAAATTCACTTCCTTTCAACCCTACCGTATGGATTCCGTGTTGTCGAACAATGATCGACAGCCTTTGTGCACCCTATATAATGGTAATTAAAGTCTTTTCACCCATGCCCACCACCTTTGCATCCTTTCCGGTGCTCAGTAAATTATTCACCAGGATGCAGTGTGCGCTAGAGTGCCGTTAATTCGA